CTAGTGCACACCGTTGATTATTAGTTGATGTCTATGCACGCTGACAATTAGATACAATGATCTCTTAAAATTATAGCGTAATGAAATAAAATTTTGCCTTGCAACGGCCATTTTGCACTGTTCTGTTCCCTGTTTTCACTCTTCTCTGTGCAATTTGTCCCGCATTAGTATTAATTATCAATTGATCCTGATACAACTTTCAGTATTATTAATGAACAAATATATGTAACCACTGCAAAGTCGATTCGACCACTCAGTTGTTACATTTATTTATTCGCTTCATCAACGTCCCATTGACAGGCACACACGAGCCGTTTATTTTGAAAGTGGCATAATTCACTCACGCCCGTGCAAAGTTATTTGTGCTGAGAATGATGCACAAGTGTGCGAGCTAACTAAATGCAATCCTCTCGGCTAAGTTAACGTCGATTTTTAAAAAAGGACTAAGATCGAATCTAGAAGTATCTAAATACTTGCGCGCGGTCGTGCTGTTGGGAGAGCGCGGCGTGCGCGCGTGGAGATATCAAGCGGAGCGCCGAGTCAAGCGCGCTGTGTTCTCCGGTGCTCCTCGTGCTAGTGGGACCTTGTTTCATGACCCACATAAAGCAAGGCCGTTAACACTACTCGCGAGTCGCGCGCGTATGGGTGCGGGGCCCCAACCAGCTACTCGCCGCTCTATGGGACCCCACGTGCCCCCCACCATTCACTCAGTGGGCCCGACGTGCTCCTCCGATATACGCTACCTGCATGTACCTGTATGTATGTATTACCATACGTCACGTGCGCGTGTGAGATGAACCGGAGAAGATGGACTCGCTGGCATGTGTGCGTGCATGTGAGACGAGCGAACCTGTGCGACGTGTACGCGTTTGCAACGAGAGAGCTCGAGAGCCTGTATGTAGAAAAGGTTAGCCGTTAATATCATCGTGGATAATTTCCGATCCTTCTTCACAGGATTATCCTCCGATGTATATGTATGTAGAAACCGGAATCTCTATTAATTGGCTGAGAAATTTTATTAGGAACTGTCTTACTGTTGTAACCACGTGTATGCACATGGGGAGTCTTTCATAACCGAGAGATGTTGATCTTTGATACTCGAGGAAAGAAATCAATCATACCTAAATGTATATTTCTAAGAAAATCTCTTAAGTTGTGTCACCTGCATCAAACTATATAACAACTAAGTTACATTACTATAAGCACACTTCTAATTGTGCCATTTCAGTTTTATCACATTTTAATCACTGAGGGACATCAGTGTCACTGTCTTACGTTCATCGGAAACCAAAGCAATGAAGGACACGTAAACCGAAAGTTAAGCGATGAGGGGGAGGGGGGGAAAGTCAAGTCCTGGGTCCTGTTCCGTGCACTTACGCAGCACTTTTATAGCGTGCGCGCTGAATGCACATCCGTGTGCAAGTGTGTGCAAGTTAGTAGGTCACACGAACGTGAGACGTTTGCGCGCGTGTGCCGTGCACACATCGAGCATCCAGCGTGTTATCATCGTAAGCCCGTGGAGAACTGTGACTGCAAACGAGGCTTCCACGGAGGGATACCCTTGATCTTGACTGGATGCAAGGTCCATTTCGCTGTCGTCGTGCATTCAATATGGCATTGCTCCTATCTGCCTTCGCATTGTTCGCATTGCTGCTGGCATGTTAATACGGACTTTATGCGTATTACGGCGGTCAAATGGGAAAAGTTCCAGAAGTTATTGCACGTTTGCGAACTCTCCGTTCAAACATGCTCGTACGATCTATAATAGAGAAGCAAATATTATAACGACTCGAGTTATCTATCCTCGAGCTTACTCTTACATTAGAGAGATAACGCAAATTTGTTGCATCTACGCACGTATTTCTTCTCTCTCGCACTTTCTTTATCTCGTTGAGAATAAATTGCGTATAAGAATAATTTATATTGTGCTTATTGTGTAATATTACGTATATATGCGTAGTGCACTGAATACAACATAAAATCTAATTGTACGCAGAGTGTCCCGGCTGAATGGAATCTGTCTGATTTATTATAGTTTGAAACAACTCGGAAAATCCATTTTTCCTCAATAATTAAGGTTATTTTCTTTGAATGAAATTTTTAAATATAGCACAAGTTGAAACATATCTTAGTCGATAGTTACAATTTTCAATAATTGCATGTTAAAAATTATTTACTAAATAATGCAAAATAATCAACTAAAATTTTGCAAATTTTCAAAAAATGATATTTTTGAATCACCTAAAAATCACCTTAAAGTAATCGAAATTAAAACTTCTGTTTATTATTAAATTGAAACTTTTGAAATGTTGAAACAAGTATCAATTTTCGAATATCGAGTAGACGGTTATAAGCACGCTTAGTGCCACCTGACGGGGACGTTCTGTACTAGAAGGAAATCGTGAAAGAAGTTCGGAGATTGCAAATACGGTAAATTTGCATAAATCATTATGCAATAGAATCGATGATACGTCTTATACGTATGCATTCGTGCAGATACTGTCACGAAGGTCAAAAATTTGAATATCTAAATGATTCCTTATTCCACAGCGTGTTTAAGAACTTCTGTATTCACCATAGCAAGTAACGTCGGTATTATAGCAAAAAAATATCTATCAATATTTAATAAAAAATGTTTTATTAATATTTGTAAAATAAATTATTAAGTAAGTTTTCATAAAAGTCATTCGCATTAAGTTAAGATAAATAGAGGAAATATACTGCCAGTGGATCCATTTTTTTGTCCCTATAAATTTTTAGTAATTTGATAAAATAAGAAGATGAAGAAATATAGCGAATAACTCCTTTGTAGAAATTTTACGTAAAATTATGAAATATAATTTCTTACAAGTGACATCAGTGTTAGATCTCTTGTTAGAATTTGATTCAAGAATCTTCATTCTTGATAGAATTTGTCAATGGAAATTAACACAAGTACAAATATAAAGAATTTTGATATAAATTACATTTCGATATAACTTCTTCACAAAAATATTCTGGTAATTAAAACAATAATTTTCTTAAGACAGGAAAGTTTATAAATTTTCATTACAAATGTGATTATTATTGTTTCATAAAAAACTTGAAGTAATTTCAAAATGATAATTGCTGATTTAATATAATGTTCCATTATTTATAAGAATTGATTTCACTGTAGTATTTATTATCATCAAGCAATAGCAAGCAACGTGTGCAATATATAAAAATCTTTATTTTCAATGAGGAACATTTTCAACTTGAATTTATTTGCAAAATTTTCATTCAAAAAACTCATTTAATACCTAGCCATAAATATTAATCATCTCCCAAATAAAACATTTAGTAACAGAATTACATCTTTAATTTAGAAAAAAAAAAAAAAAAAAAAAAGAAAAATCCTCGCTGGCCCTTTGTAA